CAGTAATACAAAGTATTTATAGGTAAATATCAAGAATTTCTCAAACAAAAAAGGCCAGATGCAGTGCAGTGAATTTTTTTAAAATATCTAATTCAGTGCCCATCTCACACAATAAAATAAAAACAATTAATAAAGATCCTCAATCACAGATTTCTAAAGATTTGGAAAAGGATAAAATGGTAGTGTGAAAGGGTATGAATGCTGGGAGCACTGCTTCATAACCAACTTATTCTCAACAAAATAGTCCCTCTTAAATGGAATCACGAATCATGACCATCCTGTTATTCGTTGAGTGCCTTGAGCAGGGTCCCAGTAATGTCTCCTTCATCCTAGCCCTGAGATTTTTAAGAAAGTGCTATATTCAAGGCTCTTTAGGAGAATGAGACTCATCATTGTTACTGGTATTTGGCATATTGGGTACGCCACGGGGAGTTTGCCAGACTCTGCAGTGTGGGCAGGTTACATTCGGTAGCCTGCCACTTTGTCCAAAGTAGGAATGAGATAATAAGATGTCATAATAAGATGTCCGCTGCCACACGGTTCGGAGAGCTGGGTTTTATAGTCTCTGAGTCTTGGTCATTGATGGGATTACATGGCGCCAGGGGGCCAGTTGGTGGGTGTGACCCCGCCTACTGGAATTCGGAAGATCTGGATGGAGGATGCTCAGCTCCGATCCGAGTAGGCTTGGAGATCTCAGCCCCGGGACCCACTTGCCTTTGTTCCTCTGCTGGTACCTTCATGTGTGTGGAGAGTGGTCTCAGCATGGTGGTGGCTGGTTCTGGAGGTCTTTGGCTGCTGGAGCCCTGGTCATGGCGGGGAGGAAAGCTCAACCCGCTCCCTTCCAAGGGACCCCAGCGAGGACAGCCAGGCGCGGGGGCAGGAGACTGCACTGTTCTCTCCCGGGAGCTGGGTTTTATAGTCTCTGAGTCTTGGTTGTTGATGGGATTACACGGCGCCAGGGGTCCAGTTGGTGGGTGTGACCCCCGCCTACTGGAATTCGGAGGATCTGGGTGGAGGATGCTCAGCCCCGATCGAGTAGGCTTGGAAATCTTAAATGGAGTAAACTGTGAAAAATGCCAAACTCTAGGATATTCCTTGAAGTGAAAAGAGAAAACATCCTGCCAGTTAACAGAGCTCTTGGCCTACATTGAATAAGAGCCATTCCGTGAAGCACTGATTGGAAAAGAAGCATATTCTGGCCGCTGCAGCTATCACAGTACCCTTCCATGTATATCATAAAATTATCATAAACATCATTCTAAGTTTGTTCTAGTTTGGAGCAGATTTAGGGGCAGCTTTGACAAGAGACACAACAGAATCATTCTCTGACTTTCTTTGGGGAACCGTGATCTGTGATCTGCGACTTGTCAATGATGGCTGCTGTAGCTTTCTTTTTGAAGGTGGCAGTGCCATATTGTCTGCTTTGTGTCACTAAATCAAGTTGGTTGAAGTGCTTAAAACTCCTGTGTTTGGCAAGGGAGCTGATAGGGAACATCGCAGGTGTGGCAGGTCCAAGTGGAGGCACCAAATGTGGCTCATGCCAAGATGAGATAGAGGGATAGCTAGAGGTTCAGGGATAGGTATCTTTGGTGGAGCTCCTGAAATGAAGCACTAGGAGGTAGACAATGAAGTGGACCCCAGGAAAGGTCAAAGGATTGATCTGGTGGTGGTTCTGGAGGTCCAAGTTCGGTGAAGGCCTTCAGAATCCTGACTTTCCATGATTCCTCAGACACTCCTGGTAGTGGTCCAGGACAAAGGCCTGTAGGTGACCCTGAAGGCTATAAAGGAGGTGGTCTAGGCCTGGGAGCAGTTTCTTTCTGAGGAGTAGCACACAGTGGAGAAACATGCTCCTGTGAAGCTACACATTTGCAACCAGGAAATGACTTCTGTTTGCGTGATGGTTTTTTTGCTTCAGAATCACTGAAATCATCTTTATCATCATCCTTTGTGCTTTCCTCAGTTCCTAAGGAAGTTTTTGTTCCTCCTAAGGGACTTCCTGACATGTTACTTCAAATTGCAAGGTTTTAAAAGGATTCAGCTCCTTTATGTATATTTTTTCTTCCTTGATTTTCCAGGAACATCTTTAAAACACACACTGAGGCCTGAGTTGCTTTTTGCTTTTGTTTTATTTTGTTTTTTTTTCCTCCATTGGTGTACCTTTCTTTATCACACTGGCACAGAAAGTTGTTGTCTTTACTTTCTCCATCTGATCTTTCCGCATGAATGTTGTCAGTATTGTCATCCTACTTATCTGGAGCCAAGTCCTCAAGATAGACATTATCTTCACTGGTTTCTGGATATATCATCAACATGACCCTCTTGAGGAAGTTCAGAACTATATAGTATGTCTTCATTTTGTCTACAGTGAAGACCTAGGGCAAAATACTCCTGTAGGACTTGCGGAGAAGGTGGTCCCAGAAAGAGGACCAGGAGGCAAATGTGAAACAACAGCTCCAAGAGCAAGAAGTATAAAAAACACCCGAGTTGAAGGTCCATTTACTGAAGTCTTCTTAAGGGTGGAAGGTGGTGGAATTTCCTGGGTCAAGCAAGATTTTGGAAGAAGCATGTGGCCATATGGCAAAAGAATACTCTCCACTTTTTCATGCTGAGCATTCTTGACTGCATCAAAAATATTGGCTAAGCAGAGATCTTTTCTATTCATATTCTACTGGCATTTTAAAAAATTATTTGTAAATGACTGGGTTCTCTTTTTTTTGCAGAATCATAGAGTATGTTCAGAGGTTTTATGCAGTTCTTTTACAATTATCTTTTAGCATCTTCTTACTTAAATGTGGTTGTTGTACTTGTTAAATGCCATTTCATTCCATTTCTCCATGTTCTGGATAATGATTGAGTCCTTCATCTTCAAAACTGCAGTTCACCATGTACTCTTTTACGTTCTTTCAATTTTCTCTTCCAAGTCTCCTTCAGGTTTGATTTGTAGGCTTCATAACTTTTCAACTTGGAGAATGATATAGGTCTCCATTCCACATGTACCTACCATTTACAAAAACAAAACAAAACAAAGTCACTGAAAAACCTCTGGACTTCTGGGACTGGGAGGAGCAGAGAGGGGTGACTCTAAAACTCATTGACTAGCAGAGACCTTCCCCTGGCTATTGGTCAGACATCTAGAAGTCTCACGATGCTTCTGAAAATGTCTAAGTTATAATTAAGACTGACAATGAAAGAAATGGCATGAATATTAATACAGCTTTATGTTTCTTTGTACTTCTTAACTAATTATTATTTATTATTTATTATTTTTGGTTGTGGAGCTATGCCTGGCAGTGTTTAAGGATTACTCCTAGCTGAGTTCTTAAGGATCAGTCTTTAGGGGTGGTGTGTGAGGAACATTTGCAATGCCCAAGGTTAAACTAGGGTCAGAGCATGATAAATGGTTTTTACATGATATTTTAGAGTTATGGAACCTTTACATACATTATTTATTTAGAATTGAAGGATTTAAAGTTTCACAAATAGTATGCTTCAGTGCTAGGTCTCTGGCTATAAATCCTAGACTTTGCCATTATTTTAAGCACACCATATAAGATTTTTATATTTTGTATTTTGAAAGTAAGAAAATATTATTTATATTTCCTTGAAAATACACGTATTTGCACATTTGAAAATACATTATTAAAATAACAAACATAATTTATTAATATTGAGCAAGAATCCTTTCTAAAAATTATTTTTCTAGTTAATGGAACTGCTGAGTACTCAAGTTTAGAAGTTCCCAATTTAGAACTACCGAGTATCTAGAAGTTTGATCAGGGGTAAATATTTAATATATTGCAAAAGCCTACAAGTAGTTTTCTGAGCATTAGATAAATCTTAGTTGACATAGGTACAGTTAATATCATTTAGGAAATTTTATTTATTGAGAAGAAATAAGCCCCAAAGTAGTAGCTTTTTATTTTTTTCATTTATTTATTTATTTATTTATTTTGCTTTTTGGGTTCCACTTGGTGATGCACAGGGGTTAGTTCTGGCTCTGCACTGAGGAGTTACTGCTGACGGTGCTCAGGGGACCATATGGGATGCTGGGAATCGAACCCAGGTCAGCCGCGTGCAAGGCAAATACCTTTCCCACTGTGCTCTCTCTCCAGCCCCAGTAGTAGCTTTTTAGAACACCTAGGGTAACATTATCTTGTGTATTTGTATTTCTCCCAAAATGTCAATTAGGCAAATTTATAATATACACATTATAATTGTTGACTAGAAAACAAATTTATCCAAATAATTGACTTTGAATTTATTAAATTTCATAGACAAAGTAAGTTTTTTTTAAATATTTAAGTTTCTTTAATAATAAAGAAGCAAAGTGAATGGATACCACCCACTGAAAACCATAAATAGGCCCTCAGATCTTTCAATAACCAGATTTATTCTTAAAAAAATTCATACTTAATAAAATGAAGTATGTAAAGGGCTGGAGCGATAGCACAGCGGTAGGGCGTTTGCCTTGCATGCAGCCAACATGGCCGAACCGAGTTCGATTCCTCCACCCCTCTCGGAGAGCCCAGCAAGCTACCCAGAGTATCTTGTCTGCATGGCAGAGCCTGGCAAGCTACCCGTGATGTATTCGATATGCCAAACACAGTAACAACAAAGTCTCCAATGGAGATGTTACTGGGCCCGCTCGAGCAATTCGATGAACAATGGGAGGACAGTGACAGTGACAGTGATGTAAAGTTATAAGAAAACTGAAATTTTTCGTCACTGTGTAAAACAGAATTTAAGGGATGTAGCTTAGCATTTCCATGCCTGTATTAAAGACTTACCTCTAAAGTTCCACTGTTGATCCTATTATTCAAAAGACTCATCCACCTATTCTACCCATTTACACACCTTTTCCTAGGAGTTATGATATTGACTTTTCCAAGAGTTTTTTTTTTTTTTTTTGCTTCAGTAGTTTATCTCTCCTAAGTGAATTGTCTTTCTCTTCCTTAATTATTTTATTTGGTTTAAACCCAAGTTCTAGTGGCTCTTCTCCGTTCGGCGGCATGAGTGCGAGCTCGGAGTGCGGCAGTCGGCGTCATGGCAGGACAAGCATTTAGAAAATTTCTTCCGCTCTTTGACCGCGTCTTAGTTGAGAGGAGTGCAGCTGAAACTGTAACCAAAGGAGGCATTATGCTTCCTGAGAAATCTCAAGGAAAAGTGTTGCAAGCCACGGTGGTTGCTGTTGGATCGGGCTCGAAAGGGAAGGGTGGAGAGATTCAACCAGTTAGTGTAAAAGTTGGAGATAGAGTACTTCTACCAGAATACGGAGGCACCAAAGTGGTTCTAGATGACAAAGATTATTTCTTGTTTAGAGACGGTGATATTCTTGGAAAGTATGTAGATTGAAATACCACTATTGAAACGGCATCCCATGAAGCTTCCCATTCCACGAAATTCTGAAATCTTTCATCATGTAAATAATTTCCATGTCTCTTTTATAATAAACTAGTGATATCCAATAAAAAAATAAAAAAAAATAAACCCAAGTTCTATCCATATTTTTCAAAAGTGGTGCAATTTTGATTTTTAATCCACATAGTATGTATTTTAATTAATTATATATCTACCATTGTTTCTTTATACTGTCATATGTTAATAGGTCTTAGGTTGATTCCATGATTTGGGTCACAGGAATTCATTATAGAACACAGAGGTAAAAATATCTTTTTGAGTTGGTATTTTCATTTCCTTTAAAAAACACACACAGAAATGATTAACAGTATGGTTAATGGCAGCATTTCATGTTACATAGTATTTAACATTAAATATCTTTTTTAAGATGTTTTATTACAGCACCCTTATTTACTAAATTGTTCATAATTGTTGTTTTGGGAATTAAGTGTTTCAGTACCAAACCACCAGTGCGCCCTCTACCAATGTCCCCAGTTTCCCACCCACCACCCTAGTCTGCTCTCTTGTAGAAGGCACAGTAAATTTTGCTTCATATTGTTTGTTTGAGTGTGAAAACTCAGTACATCAGGATATTCTGTGAGCTGTATTACGGATTCACTACCAGGATCTCACCATTCTACAAGGAAGTGATCATCCATGTCAAGAGAGGGGTTCAGCAGGGTGATACCATTTCAGCGAAACTCTTCAGTGCCACCCTCGAGAACATCATGCGATGACTGGAATGGGAAGGAATGGGAGTGAAGATAGACGGTTGGCAACTACACCACCTCCACTTTGCTGATGATATCACTCTAATAACACCAAACATTAGACAAGCGACACAAATGATGGCCAACTTCAACTGTGAGTGTGGAAAAATAGAACTACAGCTGAATCTCACAAAGACAATGTTTATGAGAAATGGTCTCGTTCCTGATGTTCCATTCGCTCTCAACGGAACAAACATCTCTGAATGCAACAGTTATGTGTACGTAGGTCGGGAACTCAACATGACAAATGACCTGGCACCTGAGTTGCGCAGGAGGAAGAGAGTGACTTGGAATGCCTTCAAGAGTGTCGAAAAAATAGGTAAGAGAATGAAGAACCTCCAGCTCCAGGCACATCTCTTTGACTCCACCATTCTTCCTGCATTAACATATACCTCAGAGACCTGGGTCCTACGCAAACAGGATGAGAACGCTATTCAGGTCTCTCAAAGAGGAATTGCAAGAGCTGTGCTTGGAGTATCACGCTTCACTCAAATGAGAGAAAGAATCTGGAGTTCCGACCTCTGTCGATGATCAAGAATCAGGGATGCTGTTGTCTGCCAAGGCGTTGAAAATCAGATGGGCTGGACACATGATGTGATTTGTAGACGACTGCTGGACTAGAGCCATTACCTATTAAATTCCATGGGATGTCGGAAGATCGTGTGGCCACCCACCTACGAGATGGTCAAACTTCTTCATCAAGACCCTCAATGATCGGTTTAAAGCTCTTCATGTTCCTGTAGTGAGCAGACGCCATTGGGCTATACTAGTACTTCATAGGGATGAATGGAGACATTACTGGCACCTGCTCGAGCAAATTGATGAGTAACAGGATGTCAAGTGATTAAGTGATTGTTTGTTACAACACAAAAGCAAATAGAATTATCAGATCTTAGGTACAATGATGTTACTAAAGTCATAGTCATAGACTATGAGCCCGGCATGCTACCGAGAGTGTCTCGCCCTCACGGCAGAGCCTGGCAAGCTACCCATGATGTATTCGATATGCCAAACACAGTAACAACAAAGTCTCCAATGGAGATGTTACTAGGCCCGATCGAGCAAATTGATGAACAACGGGAGGACAGTGACAGTGACAGTCACTAAAGTCATTGTCTGGGAACTGTGATATTGGTTAGTGCTATTTGAGATTTTTTTTTAATTTTTTTTATTATTATTAGTGAAACATCATGAGGTACAGTTGTAGATTTACAAATTTTTGTGCTTGGGTTTAGATTATACAATGATCAAATATCCATCCTTCCACCAGTGCCCATTTTCCATCACCATGGGTAATATTCCTCCCACCCCCATCCCTCCCATCCCACCCTGCCTCTGTGGCAGGGCGATCCCTTGTGTTCTCTCTCCTTTTGGGTGTTGTGGTCTGCAAAAGAGGCTTTGAGTGGCAAACATGTTCAGTCCATAGTCTACTTTCAACATGCATCTCCCCTCCTGGGAGGATCCTCCAAACATCCTTTATTTGGTATTCCCTTCTCTATCTGAGCTGCCCTTTCCCCTAGAATGCCTGGCTGGCCTCTAAGTTATGGAGTAGTCCTCCTGGTGCTGATCTCAGCTATTCTTGGGTATTAATCTCATATTTTGCTACTTTATATTCCCCACATGAATGAAATCTTTCTGTGTCTATCCCTCTCTTTCTGACTCATTTCGCTTAGCATGATACTTTCCATGTTGTACCACTTGTATATAAATTTCATGACTTCATCTTTTCTAACAGCTACATATTACTCCATTGTGTAGATGTACCAAAGTTTCTTTAACCAGTCATCTGTTCTTGGGCACTCAGGTTTTTTCCAGATACTGGCTATTGTAAAGAGTGTTGCAATGAACAAACAAGTGCAGATGTCACTTCGACTATACATTTTTGCCTCTCTGGGATATATTCCCAGAAGTGGTATTGCTGGGTCATATGGGAGCTCAATTTCTAATTTTTTGAGCATCATCCATACTGTTTTCCAGAAGGGCTGAACCAGTCGACATTCCCACCAACAGTGAAGGAGTGTCCCTTTCTCGCCACATCCGCACCAACACAGGTTGCTTTTGTTCTTTTGGATGTGGGCCAGTCTCTGAGGTGTGAGATGGTATCTCATTGTTGTTTTGATCTGCATCTCCCTGATGATTAATGATGTAGAGCATTTTCTCATGTGCCTTTTTGCTATGTGGATTTCTTCTTTGAGAAAGTTTCTGTTCATTTCATTGCCCCCTTTTTTGATGGGGTTGGATGTTTTCTTCTTGTGGAGTTTAACCAGTATTTTGTATATCCTTGATATCAACCCCTTGTCAGATGTGTATTCGGTGAATATTCTTTCCCATTCTGTAGACTGTCTTTGTATTTTGGTCACTGTTTCTTTGGAGGTGCAGAAACTTCTTAGTTTAAGATAATCCCATTTATCTATCTCTGTTTTCACTTGCTCGGCCAGTGGTGTGACATCTTTGAAGATACCATTAGCTTCAATGTCATGGAGGGTTTTGTCAACTTTGTCTTCAATGTACCTTATGGTTTCTGGTCTGATGTTGAGGTCTTTAATCCATTTTGATCTTACTTTTGTATATGGTATTAGGCAGAGTTCTGAGCCCACTTTTTTGCATGTAGCCGTCCAGTTCTGCCAGCACACTTTGTTAAAAGGCTTTCCTTACTCCACTTCACATTACTTGCACCTTTATCAAAGATTAGATGATCATATGATTGAGGGGAGATGTCAGTGTATTCAACCCTATTCCACTGGTCTGCAGTTCTGCCTTTGTTCCAGTACCATGTTGTTTTAATTATTACTGCTTTGTAGTACAGTTTGAAGTTTGGGAGGTTGATTCCTCCTATTTTCTTTTTCCCAAGAATTGCTTTAGCTATTCGTGGGGGCTTATTGTTCCATATAAATTTCAGGAGTGTTTGCTCCATTTCTTTGAAGAATGTCATGGGTATCCTTATAGGGATTGCATTGAATTTATATAATGCTTTCAGTAGTAATGCCATTTTGACAATGTTAAGTCTCCCGACCCATGAGCAAGGGATATCTTTCCATTTCCTCATGTCCTCTTTTATTTCCTGAAGTAGCGTTTTGTAGTTTTCTTTGTACAGGTCCTCTACTTACTTAGTTAAGATGATTCACGGTACTTGATTTTCTGGGGCACAATTGTGAACGGGATTGTTTTTTTCATGTCGCTTTCTTCTCTCTCACTGTTTGCGTATAGGAAAGCCATGGACTTTTGGGTATTGATTTTATAGCCTGCAACTTTACTATACAAGTCCATTGTTTCTAGGAGTTTTTTGGTGGAGATTATTGGGTTCTCTAAGTATAGTATCATATCATCTGCGAACAGTGAGAGCTTGGTTTCTTCCTTTCCTACCTGAATGCCCTTAATATCTTTTTCTTGCCTAATCGCTATTGCAAGTACTTCCAGTACTATATTGAACAGCAGTGGAGAGAGTGGGCATCCTTGTTTTGTCCCTGATCTTTGAGGGAAGGCTCTCAGTTTTTCCCCATTGAGGATGATGCTTGCTGTAGGCTTGTGGTAGATGGCTTTAATTATGTTGAGGAAAGTCCCCTCTATACACATTTTGGCTAGGGTTTTCATCATAAAGGGTTGCTGGATATCGTCAAATGCTTTCTCTGCATCTATCGATATAATCATATGCTTTTTATCTTTTCTTTTGTTGATATGATGGATTATGTTGATTGATTTCTGAATGTTAAACCATCCTTGCATTCCTGGGATGAATCCTACTTGGTCATGGTGTATGATCTTTTTGATGAGTAGTTGGATTCTATTTGCTAATAGTTTGTTGAGGATCTTTGCATCTGTGTTCATCAGGGATATCGGTCTGTAATACTCTTTCTTTGTGGTATCTCTGTCTGCTTTTGGTATCAGTGTGATATTTGCTTCGTAGAAAATGTTCGGAAGTGTTTTAGATATTTCAATTTCGTGGAAAAGCTTAAAGAGGATTGGGAGTAAGTCCTCTTTAAAGATTTGGAAGAATTCACTAGTGAATCCATCCGGGCCAGGAGTTTTGTGCTTGGGGAGACTTTTTATTACCATTTCAATTTCCTTGATGGTGATAGGTCTGCTCAGGTATTCCAGGTCTTCTTGGTTCAGGCTTGGGAGTCTATAGGAGTCTAGGAATTTACCCATTTCCTAGAGGTTTTGATGTTCCGTGGCATAAAGCTTCTCAAAGTACTCCCTGAGGATCCTTTGAATTTCTGTAGTTTCTGTTGTAATGACCCCCTTTTCATTTCTGATTCGGTTTATTAGGGTTTTCTCTCTCCCTTTCTTTATGA